CGTTCAACCCCGCGTGTGTGATTTCAGGGGGCTGAGCTTGGCGTGCTATCTCCTTGCCTTTTGAAGGCGAGTTTGGCTGTGAACAGAGCTGCTGGTTCCGATCCCGTACGCTTCCTCAGGCGTTGTGGGCTTGGAGTCTGTGCCACACGCAGAAAAGCACATTTTCATGTTTTAAAGGCTACATTTTGCCTCTTTTGGTTACTTTAAAAATGTTAAGAGCCTTAAGTCTGCCTTTAAGAGTGCATGTAGTGTCTTCCCCAATGATGAATGGCCTCATTTTAAAAATTATACAGATTTACAATTTAATTATAGAAAATTAGCAAATACAAGTCAGTACAAGTAATCCAAAAAAAAGAAAAAAGAAGAAAAGAAAAAAACACATTAAAATGACCCAACCCCACCCCCTCTCTACCCCACAGTTGCTATTAGCCTTACGATGCATAGCCTCTAGGTTATTTACTTTATGGTTGTGTTTTTAAATTGTGCAGTTTCATCAACACCCTATTTTCACTGGCAACACCATGAACACCTTTATTCCTTGTTACATGTATCTACAGCACCATCTTTAATGACCACACGGTGTTAGGTTGCTGAGAAGGACTGTGATTTGTTTACTAAAACCTCTATTGCTGATAGTGCTTCAGTGAATAATATTGCAATATTTTTACATCTTTTCATAGTCATCCAGTTGTTTCTTCAAGTTCCTAAATGTGGAATTGATGGTCCCAAGGGTGGCTGCTTCAACAGCTTTTGATATTTGTTGCAGTGCCCTTAAAGAGACAGTGCCATCCTTCCATTTATCCTTCCAGGTATCTGTGTTTTCATTCACTTTTCCCTCCTTCCTCTCCTCTATTAGCCACCCATCCATCATCTGTCAGTCCACCTACTGTCCATCCATCCATCCATCCATCCATCCATCCATCCATCCATCCATCCGTTCATCTGCTCACCCACCTGTTCATCCACCCACATGTCCATCCATCCATCATCCATCCATTCATCTACTCACCCACCTGTTCATCTACCCACCTGTCCATGCATCCATCCATCCACCCACTCACCCACCTGTTCATCTACTCACCTGTCCATCCATCCATCCACTCACCCACCTGTTCATCTACTCACCTGTCCATCCATCCATCCATTCATCTACTCACCCACCTATTCATCCACCCACCTGTGCATTCATCCATCGAGCCACCCACTCATCCACCTGTTCATCCACCCACCTGTCCATCCATCCATCCATTCATCCATCATCCATCCATCCATCCGTCCATCCGTCCGTCCATCCATCCATCCATCCATCCATCCATCCATGCATCATCCATCCATCCATCTACTCACCCACCTGTTCATCTGCCCACCTGTCCATCCGTCCATCTATCCACCCACTCACCCACCTGTTCATCCACTCACCTGTCCATCCATCCATCCATTCATCTACTCACCCACCTATTCATCCACCCACCTGTGCATTCGTCCATCCAGCCACCCACTCACCCACCTGTTCATCTACCCACCTGTCCATCCATCCATCCATTCATCCATCATCCATCCATCCGTCCGTCCGTCCATCCATCCATCCATCCATCCATCCGTTCATCCACCCACCTGTCCAACTGTCCATTCATCTACTCACCCACCTGTTCCTCCACCCACCTGTCCATCCATCCATCCATCCATCCATCCATCCATCCATCCATCCATCCATTCATCTGCTCATCCACCTGTCCATCCATGTGTCCATTCATCCACCTACCCATCCAACCATCCATATTGTGCTGAGGACCTTCTGAGTCAGACCTGGGCTCAGCACTGCAGCCTGCAGTGAACATGTGGTCTCCATCTCAGAGCTCAGTCAGCTGTGGGAGGCGGGGAGTCAGCCATGGGAGGCGGAAGCCATCCACAGAGTAAGAAGTACAGGAACTGAGGTGTTGCAGGAGGGGGAGGCATCAGCACTGGGAGTGGTGTGGGTGGGGGCTTTCAAAAGATTTGTGATCTCTGAGCCACAGGCCAGGTGGGACTGGAACCCAAGACGGGCCGTTTCCTGGAAACCATCCTGACTGAGCACCGCCGGCCAGCCGCGACCCAAACAGCAGGGGCTCCTTACTGGGCTCCTACCCAAAGAGATCTGGTGGTGTCTGTCCCAGATGCTCAAGTCCTCAGCCCCCGGCTTAGAGACCAGTCCAGGGCACGGATGGAGACAGAGACAGAGACCGAGAGAGGGAGGGAGAGGGACAGAGAGAGGGAGGGGTGGGTGAGAGGGAGGCATGTGCTCTGCTTGGAGGAGGACTCTGCACCTAGGGAAGCCAGATAGTGGAGGAGCGTTGATGATACGGGCTTCAGCCTGACTTCACCTCTTCCTGGCTTCTTGACCTTGGGTGAAATTACTTTGTGTCTTGTTTCCTTATCTGGAAACTGGACAGAACAGCAGTGCTGACCTCATAGGGGCGGGTGAGGATGGAGCAAGAGACAGACCAGGGGCTCTGCCCTCGGCCCCCGCAGGAAGGGCTGGCTGGAATGTCTTCGTGTTTTTCTTTCTCTTACCAGGCCTGAGTGCTGGGGGGCTTTCTGTGTCCCCAGAACCCAGCACAGCCCCTGATGCAGACGTGCTAAGCTGTGTTTGTTGATGGGGTTGGGGGGGGCACCCCCATGTGAGACAATTTAAAATCGGAGCCAGCAGCTTCACTTAACCTTCCAGAGTGACTGCTGGATTAGAAGAGAAAACTGTTTTTCTTTTTACAGACAGAGGAGGCCAGGGCCTTTTAATTCCATTAAGTGCTGAGAGAGAGGAAGCCATGGGGGTTTTGTGTGAAAGGGGCAGACGGTGGAAAAGCAGGGTGAAGCCGTGCAGCGGGCGGCGTGGGCAGAGCTGACCGCAGCTCGGGGCTGTTGCCTGGAGACGTCTGTGTTCAGGCCTTTGTCGGAGATGAGCTGGCGACATTCGGTCATTAAAGTTTCTTCTGAAGAAAAATGGGGCTCCCAGACCTTTTTGGTAAATGAGGCTGGGCTCTCTGGGCTCTGCTAGTCACAGAGCCGGGGACTAGGCCTTCTCTGCAGGCGCACACCTGGGGAGGTGAGGGACACCTGTGTGGCCAACAGAGCAACCCCTCGAGGCTCATTTAAGAGGCGCTCCAGGATGGGCTGCTCTGGACGGGGCCACACCCAGGCACCTGGGTGTGTGGAAAGTCGACTTTCATTGATACCAAGGACTGAACAGCCCCGTCTGGAGATCGAAACCTCCCAGGAAAGGTTTCAGCCAACCCCTGCCTTTGTTCAGGCTCCGGTGGACGCACGTGAGTGGAACGTGAGCCTCAAATCATCGGGGTGCAGCCTCCCTCTTCGTGGGGAGTTCTGTGGTGTCCATCGTGGCCCAGCGGGTGATGGCAGGAACCAGAAGCACTGAAAATGTCCATCTGGGCAGGAACGGGTGAAGGAACGAGGGTGTTCGTATAGAGAATGCCAGGTAGGGCGGTACAGCGGCTCACCCCTGTAATCCCAGCACTTTGGGAGGCTGAGGTAGGAGGATCGCTTGAGGTCAGGAATTGGAGACCAGCCTGGGCAACATAGCAAGACCCATCTATTAAAAAATAAAAAATAAGCAGGTGTAGCGGCACGTGCCTGTACAGTCCCAGCTACTCGGGGGGCTGAGGTGAGAGGACACCTTGAGCCCCGGAGTTTGAGGCTGCAGTGAACTGTGGCAGCACCCCTATACTCCAGCCTGGGCAGCAGAATGAGACCCCGTCTCTTCAAAGAAAAGAATGCTGGGCAGCCGTAAAAGGAGCAAAGAAGCTTCCAGATTTGTGTTTTCACCCAGGTGCATTTCAGAAAATATGTGTCAGGAGGGAGAATAGAATTGCGAAAGGGTATCTTTATGTCAGTGACATGCAGTGATGCAGACACCCCTGGAAATGCACGCTTTTCACGGGTGCACACGTGTGATCACGGATGCCCATGTGCGAAGTGGTGACACAGAGCAAGCATGTTGGAGGCGGCACTTGGCCTCCACACCCGGGCCCCAGCTGTGATGCCGGACAGCTTCCCAGGAGAGAGCGGTGGAGGCAGTGTGGTCCTGAGCCGGGTGGTGGGGGGTACACAGTGTCCGTTTGATTACTTACGGCCTTTAATGGAATATTTTACCATTATAAGTTGAAATATTTTTTTTTTTTAAAAGAGGGAGGAATTGTAAAATGATTTCTTAAAGATCTGTTCATTCTGAGAACCCATTCTTTGTGGTTTTGAAGAAATGCAGTTTAGAGCACAGTGCCAGGACGGCTCCTGCAGATGTGCACCAGGGAGGCTGTGGCCAGGAAACGTCCCCACCAGGGCCAGGTGCCTGAGACTGGGGCTGGGGCAGCATGGCCAAGCCCCACCACCCAGGTGGGCAGACGGTGGAGGCCCCCAGCTCTCCCCGAGCCCTGCCACCCACTGACCCCTCTCCAGGTGGGAGGACAGTGGAGGCCCCCCCAGCCCTGCCACCCACTGACCCCTCCCCAAGTGGGAGGACAGTGGAGACCCCCCCCCAGCCCTGCCTACAGCCCTGCCATACACTGACCCCTCCCCAGGTGGGAGGACAGTGGAGACCTCCCCCAGCTCTCCCCCAGCCCTGCCACCCCCTGACCCCTCTCCAGGTGGGAGGACAGTGGAGACCCCCCCCGCAGCCCTCCCTACAGCCCTGCCACCCACTGACCCCTCCCCAGGTGGGAGGACAGTGGAGACCCCTCCCCAGCCCTCCCTACAGCCCTGCCACCCACTGACCCCTCCTGCAGTTCTGCCCCCCTCCCGGAGGAAACAGGAAACTGAGTTGCCCGGGAAGTTGGGAACAGGGACTCAAAAAAGAAGCATTTCTTAAATAAAGAGAAAACAACCACTATTTTAAGAATGCCTTATTCATGGGCCCTGGAACCGGGAGGGTCAGGGCTGTCTGGATCTTTGATTTTATATTTGTTTCCTGGGTGGTTCAGCCCCCATCCCCGTGAGTCAGGGTGCACCTGTGGGCCGGCAAAGGTTTCCAAGAATCTCCTTTTTAAGTCATCAGGGGGGGCAGGAGGCTGCCCTCGGAGCGTCCCCGTGGGTGCACTCGCTGCCTGGGTCTCTGGTTTCTCTGCATCACATTGTGGGCTAAGTGCTCGTTGAGGGGTCCAGTCTCCGAAGGTGGTTATTGCATCTATTAATAAGAGTGGGATGCTGGCACCATGTTCTGGGGCAGGTGCCCCTCTACCTTCCTGGCTGACAGGTGCTTCCCCACTTTTCCCGGGCACCTCTGCCAGCTCCCCCATGCCCCTTGGGTCCTGTTTGCATGGTCCATTTCACATCCAGATTTGGAACACTGGACAGTCAGGCTGCCCGGTTGGCACAGCCCCAAGACTCGGCCTCACCAGCTTCGAGTTTGCGTGTCACGAAAGGTCTGTGTTTTCCACAGAGAGGCTCCGAACCTCCCTTCTGTGTCAAGGGTCCCAGGATTCTCCTTGGACTGAAAGTGTTCTCCCTGAAAGGAAAAAAATGCAGATTGCTGGTTGTATTCTAGTAGCATTGTATTTACTGGCGGGAGAATGTTCACAATCTATTGTTACTTTTGTTTTTCTAAATGGAGTTCAAAATGCACGTATGGTGTGACCCCATTTCTGTAAAAACCAAAACAGCAAACTGCGTCTGTGCATAGAACAGAAATGGGGCTGGGAGGCTGTATGCCCGGGGCTCGCAGTGCCATCTCCGGCCCTCGGGTCATGAAGGATTTCAATTTTCTTCTTTGAACTCTCATGGATTTTCTCATTTTCCCTGATGACTGTGAAGTGATTTTTGTGAAGTGAGGGGAGGAAGGGTTTAAATGTCCCCATGCTGCCTGCAGCCCTAATTTAGCGTGTTTTGCTTTTCAGTGACATATTCGATGCTATGTTCCCTGTCACTCACATCGCTGGGGAGACCGTTATACAGCAAGGTACGTTCCGCCTGCTCCTCCGAGCCAAAGCCCGGAGGGGAAAAATGGACTATGCACTTAAAAAGAAAAATAGTATAAGGCCAGGCGTGATGGCCCACGCCTGTAATCCCAGCACTTTGGGAGGCTAAGGCAGACGGATCACCTGAGGTCAGGGGTTCGAGGCCAGCCTGACCAACATGTTGAAAACCTGTCTCTACTAAAAATAAAAATTAGCTAGGCATAGTGACGGGCGCCTGTAATCCCAGCTACTCCAGAGGCTAAGGCAGGAGAGTCCCTTGAACCTGGGAGGCGGAGGTTACAGTGAGCTGAGTTCGCGCCATTGAACTCCAGCCTGGGTGATAGAGTAATACTCTGTCTCAAATTTTACAAGCATATATATATATACTTACACATACATACACACATATATAATATGCACATATGTGTACATATATGCACGTATATGTGCACACATGCATGTGTACATGTATATATACACATATATGTGTGTATGTATAAAATAGATACATGCATGTATAAACTAAATAAATATAAAATAAAATATATACATGTATGTATAAAACTAAAGTAATATACTAGAATTATACACACACACACACACACGTATAAAACTCTCATTGTAAGGCTGGGTGCAGTGGCTCACGCCTGTAATCCCAGCACTTTGGGAGGCCAAGGCAGGTGGATCACCTGAGGTCAGGAGTTCAAGACCAGCCTGGCCAACGTGGTGAAACCCCATCTCTACTAAAACTACAAAAAAATTAGCTGGGCGTGGTGGCGCACCTGTAATCCCAGCTACTCCAGAGGCTGAGCAGGAGAATCGCTTGAACCTGGGAGGCGGAGGTTGCAGTGAGCCGAGATTGTGCCATTGCACTCCAGCCTGACTCCATCTCAAAAAAAAAAAAACAACAAAAAACAAACAAAAACACCTCTCATTGTTTACAGAAAGTTCACTAATGAAACTTTATAACAGGCTCTTTAATGAGTTATCTCAATGTTTCCATAATCTTGTCATTAAAAAAGAATTGATGGCACCCAGGATGTTGCCTGAGGAGGGTCTATGCAACAGTGTTGCAATAGTTGTTTGCAAGAGGGACTGTAACTTCTATGTCTTGATGTACTTTGTATCTGTTGACTTTCTTCTTTTGTTACAGGGAATGAAGGAGACAACTTCTATGTCATTGATCAAGGGGAAGTGGATGTGAGTATCACTCTCTTTGGAAAATAGTGCGTCTTTGCGTGTCCTGTGTGAAGACTTGCCCCTCTGTGCAGCACCAGGCTCCCAACAAACACTGCGCTGAGTGCTGTATTTCTAGGGTTTTAATCCAGAAATGTAATTGCTGTGTCTTAGAAGAGAATATGGGAATATCAGAAGTGCAGAGGGAAACGAGGGTGATGCTGGTAGGTGGTGGTAGCGGCCACAGGTCTTCCAGGGCCGCTGTCTTCTGCTTACCCCCGGGCTGGGACTGCTGGGTGCTGGCCAGGGTGGTTCTGTTTGACCCAGCACCATCTCCAGATCTGAGGCCGGTGAATACACCAGGCTCACCCACCACGTGGGATGTTAATATCTCAAAGTGGGTGGGAGAGTGGTGTGCTTACAGACCCCATAGGACCAACGACATCATGGTCAAACAGCGGCGGCCTTTTCCACCTGTGTTTGGCTCCCCACTCAGAACGTCCAAGCCGTGAGTCGGGTCTCACTGTGTCATCTTCCCACGCTTGTCTCAAAAGCAGAGGGACCCATCCTTTTATGAGATGCTCCCACTGTTTTGGAAGGAGAAGCGTCCCCTCCTCTGGAGACCCTGTCTCGTGCCCCATGGCCATGCCGGAATGCTGGCATCACCCCTGGCTTAACAGCCCGGTCTTGCCCAGAGCCTCTGGCTCCCATCTCGTTCGCTGTCTGGTTTAGAGCCCGGGTGCTCTGGTGTGAAGCTTTGAGGTCCCCTAATCCCCCGCTGGGCTCCCCCCCCCATGGCAGCCTGACCTTGCCAGTGCGGAGCGGATGGCGCAGCCTCTGGGAAAGCACCCCTAGGAGTTGGTTTCCCTTTGAATCAGGCCTGAGCCCCTGACGTAGTCACCGGGAAGGACCTCAGTGACACCATCCTCCCTCGGTTCCTGGAATCTGCCTGCACTGGCAGCCCCAGGGCCTTGGTGTGTGCCCCCCGCCCTGCCGGGAACCCCGTTAGCTCCTGCTTCTCCTTCTGCTGTCTGCTAAATGTCAGTTCCCAGTGGGCGTCAGCAGACATGTCCCACGCCTCCCTCGAAGGACCCTCTGCTGCTCGTGGTGATGACCTCTCCTGAGACCATCTCTTTACGGCCTTTCTGCACACGGCCTTTCTGCACACGGCCCGGATGCCCCCACAGTGCAGGGTGCTTTGAGGGTCTGTGACACCCGAGATGGTCACTGCTTCCCAGGCTGGCTGAGTCATCTCTGGGTCTGGGATGCCTGGCTGCCCTTCTCCTTGCCCACCTGCCCTGGGAGGCGGCCTCCGTGCTCTGCTGTGCAGGCAATGCCATCCCCCGCTGCCCGGCACGAGCTATTTTGGGGTTTGTCCTCCGGTGGCTGTGCCTCTGTCCAGGCCACGCTATTCCGGGGAGGGCATTTTCTCATTTGTTTCCGTGGCAGCCGCAGTCTGTCCCCCATCGCGCCGTGTTTCTGGGAACCTGAGCAGGCCCGCTCTGTTCCGGAGCTGATAGCACAGGAAATGACTCAGGGGTCCCACCTCCCCGCGAGGGGCATGCGCCTCAGGCCCGGCCCGCACAGGCGGGGAAAGAGCCGGTTTCTTTTCTCCCTGGTGTGCTCTGTCCTGAGCCGGAACCCATGGGCTGGGCCCCTAGACCGGGCCTCTGGGGCAGACCTTTGTGTCAGGGAGTGGGGTGCTCCTATCTCCCCCAAAGACGGAAACTGAGGCAGGTGCCAAAGGTCCCGGGGACTGCCTGGCCTCAGAGGAAGTGTGGAGGGGGAAGGCTGGAGGGCGGCACTGGCGGGTCAACCCTGGACTCGGCTGCCAGGCCACAGAGTCATCTCCTGCTGGCTTTGCTTTGAGTTTAAAAAAAGCCCAGCCCAGGAAATAGAGAAGACAGAGGAGGATGCGGCCAGCATCCCAGCCGGGCATCGTCCTGGGGCCTGGGCTCATCCCAGGAGGTGGCCCCGTTGTGCCCGGCATCCAGACACCAGGGCCTGATGAGGGGCTGCAGGGAATGGGGCTGAGCCCCCAGCAGACGGGGCAGGGCTGATCCCAGAGAGACCCTGGCAACCTAGGCCTGCCCAGTGGTCAGCAGTGCTGAGGGCAGAGCCGCCTCTGCAGGAGGTGTGGGATGGGCGGGTTCCTGACTGTACCCACCGCTTTCCCCAGCCCCAAATCTCATGCTACTCACAGGCCCTCTTCCAGGTCACACTCCGGGTCCTGGTGTCACCGTGTCACCTCCTCCCCTGCCCTCTCCACTCTGGGTCCTGGTGTCTTCTTCTCCCCTGCCCTCTCCACTCTGGGTCCCATTGTCACCTCCTCCCCCATCTCCTCCACTCTGGGTCCCGGTGTCACCTCCTCCCCCATCCCCTCCACTCTGGGTCCCGGTGTCACCTCCTCCCCCATCCCCTCCACTCTGGGTCCTGGTGTCACCTCCTCCCCCATCCCCTCCACTCTGGGTCCCGGTGTCACCTCTTCCCTCATCCCCTCCACTCTGGGTCCCGGTGTCACCTCCTCCCCCATCCCCTCCACTCTGGGTCCCGGTGTCACCTCCTCCCCCATCTCCTCCACTCTGGGTCCTGGTGTCTTCTTCTCTCCCATCCTCTCCACTCTGGGTCCTGGTGTCACCTCCTCCCTCATCCCCTCCACTCTGGGTCCTGGTGTCACCTCCTCCCCCATCCCCTCCACTCTGGGTCCTGGTGTCACCTCCTCCCTCATCCCCTCCACTCTGGGTCCTTGGTGTCTTCTTCTCCCCCATCCCCTCCACTCTGGGTCCTGGTGTCACCTTCTCCCTCATCCCCTCCACTCTGGGTCCTAGTGTTACCTCCTCCCCCATCCCCTCCACTCTGGGTCCCAGTGTCACCTCCTCCCCCTTCCCCTCCACTCTGGGTCCTGGTGTCACCTCCTCCCCTGCCCTCTCCACTCTGGGTCCTGGTGTCACCTTCTCCCCCATCCCCTCCACTCTGGGTCCTAGTGTCACCTCCTCCCCCATCCCCTCCACTCTGGGTCCTGGTGTCACCTCCTCCCTCATCCCCTCCACTCTGGGTCCTGGTGTCACCTTCTCCCCTGTCCTCTCCACTCTGGGTCCTGGTGTCACCTCCTCCCCCACCCTCTCTACTTTGGGTCCCGGTGTCACCTCCTCCCTCATCCCCTCCACTCTGGGTCCTGGTGTCACCTTCTCCCCTGCCCTCTCCACTCTGGGTCCTGGTGTTACCTCCTCCCCCTTCCCCTCCACTCTGGGTCTTGGTGTCACCTCCTCCCTCATCCCCTCCACTCTGGGTCCTGGTGTCACCTTCTCCCCCATCCCCTCCACTCTGGGTCCTAGTGTCACCTCCTCCCCCATCCCCTCCACTCTGGGTCCCGGTGTCACCTCCTCCCTCATCCCCTCCACTCTGGGTCCTGGTGTCACCTTCTCCCCTGCCCTCTCCACTCTGGGTCCTGGTGTTACCTTCTCCCCCATCCCTCTCTACTCTGGGTCCTGGAGTCATCATGTCACCTCCTCCCCTGCCATCTCCTTCCTGGATATTTATTGATTGCCTGCTTTATGCCTGGCACTTGTGACGGGGAGGACCTGGTGCCTGCTCTGGTGTGGGGGAGGTTGTGGCTTAATGGGGGAGAGGGACCAAGAACAGGAAATTAGCCAATGAATGTCCTGACCGTGGTTCTGCCCCTCCTGTCCCCTCTGCTCTCATTCCTGCTCTGCCTCACGAACTCCTACGCATCCCACAAGACCCCGCCAGGCCCAGCTCATCTATCTGCGGCTGGGCTTCGATAGATACTGACCTCGACAGATGACCAGGGACCAGGCCTCCCCGCAGTGGGCCTGGGAGCCCCATAGGTCCCCACGGAGGCCTTTCCTCCCCTGTGCAATGCCTCTCCCTCTTCTGTGTCTCCCGATGTCATTCATATCTCCAATTAAATTCCAAAGACATCTTCAAGGTGCCAGTTTGCATCAGCAGAGCTTGGGGTTGAGGCCACCCACAGGAATTCTGTTTTCCACATTCTTCACTTCTCCTAAATGAACAGATGTGGAAGAGACAAACCCTTTACCCAGAATTCCCTCACGGAGGCTGAAACCCACATGGGGCGCCCAGGGTGTGTTCCCGCCCAACTTGTTGTGTCTCGAGGAGGGTGGTGGATGGGTCAGGACCGCGTGGACTCGGGACTCAGAGGACCCAGGCTGTGTTCTTTGCTGGCCGTGACCTTTGCCCAGGCCCTTGTGTGGCTGAGCCATGCCATTTCCATATTACTCAGAAAAACGAACAGAGCTCACCGCTGCCGGGGAGACTGAGATAACCCTCCTGAGGTTCTGCTCTTGGCACCTGCTGTAGGGTGATGGGGCCTCTGTCTGCGCGGCTCCTGTGCCCCTTCATTCAGGAACCCATTGGCCGCCTGGCAGCTTCCCTACCCCATCTCATGTCCCCAACACACGCACCACAAGAGCCTTGTTGGCCCCGCAGAGGAAACGCCTACCACCCATGCCCCAGGCTTGTCCTAATCCTCAGTATGCGTGGCCACCCTCCTGCCCCCGCATCAGGCCCCAGCCGGCAGCGTGCTGAGGACTTCCTGGGAGAGGCGAGGGTGTGAGGGGCTGGGGGTTGGGACTGCCAGAGGGATCAGGTCCCCGTCTTTCTGCTGTTGGCCTCCAGGCTCCTGGGAGCCCCACCTGGGCCAGGACCTCAGCAAAGGGGCTGGGAGGTGTTGCTGTCCCGGCCGACCTGGCACTCGGCGTCTTGGTGGGACCTCCTCCTCCTTGCACCCACCTCTCCACCTCTGAACTCAGTGAGGCATCTCCCTTCCCTGCGTCCTTCCAGCAGGACAGACCCCCCTCCCCGCTCCCCCCGCCGCCGTCTGTAACTCGTACATGTAACTCGTACATGACAGGGCAGTGGGAGAGGCCGGTCCCGGAGCCACTTCAAAGCAGCGACCGTTTCCTCCAGCCCTGAGCTCACAGCATCCCCTCCCAGCCCCAGCCCCGGCCCTGGCCCGGTTAGCGTGGGGTCGGGGCTGAAGCCTGAATGGAGGGGAGATGGTTTTCTCTCAGACGCGAGGCGTCGTGGCGTCCTGGCTGGCTTCTTTCCAGGCTCAGGGACGTTGGGAGGCGATTTTGAGAAAGGAAAGAGTGAGGTCACCCTGGTGTAACTGGAGTTCCCCAAATATATTATCCTGGCAAATCCCTCCCCTTCCCCCTCCCCGCCACCGCCCGTCCCTGCCCCTTCCCCAGCCCTGGGTCAGGCACAGAGTCAGCTTTAAGGCCCCTGCTGGACCCGGCCCACCAGAGCCAGGATGTCTGAGCCCCGTGGGTGGATGCCCGCTTCCTGGCTACAGGCTAATGTGGGATGGCCGGGCCCCCCGCGGGAACCGACTGTGACTTGTGGGGACCATCCCCTGAGTCCCGGGCGGCTGTGCACCAACACCAAGCACCTCTGTCAATCTCAGATTTTCCAGCCAGGGCAGAGGTGGGCGGCAAGGAGTGCCCAGCGGGGCTGGGTGGGGCCAGGCACAGGAGCTGCCTGCGGGGGCCCCCTGTGATGTGGGAGGCCCTTCGCGTGCAGGGTAAACCCGCAGGGCCCGTGTGGGTGAAGCCCACATTTAAGGAAATCAAAGGATGCTCAGTCAGGAATCTGGAATAAAAAAGTGGCATGTCGGGTAGCCTGGGTGAGTTATGGGCATATGTATTATAATAATTACTGTTATTACAGCCCCCAGGGGAACAGCCGCATGGCAGCTCCAGGCAGCCCTGTCCAGCTGCTGTGTGAACCCTGGGTGCTGTGTTTTGTTTGCTGGTTTCTCTCAGTTGCCTCCCTGGGGCGATGAAATGGATATACCCCGGGTTCAGGGCTGCAGGACTAGGGCTACCCGGGTTCCGAGTGGGTTCCTGAGGCTAGTGGGACCCTGGTTTTATTCCGGGTGGCGGGAAGGGATGGCCGGTTGCCGTGGGCATGTCACTGCGCCCGGCCAAGTGCCCGAGGCCCAGCAGGAAGCCGTCCTCTGAAGGACCTGGCCCTGACCCTTTAAGCCAGCAGGGCTTGGAGGTGGACGTCACCCGCTTCTGCAGGGTGGACACTGCCCTCTGACCAGCGGCGCCTCAGGGGGACGGCCAGGTGACCAACTGCCAAGAGCACCAGGTTCGGTTTAAATTATGGTTTTCCAGAGACTCCAAAAGTGCCTGCTGCTATCTGTGTGTTGCCAAGAGCTATAATCCATTTTTCTAAGTATAAAAATATCTTCCAATGTATTTTATTCATGGAACATAGCATTTCTGCTTAAAAGGACACTCAGCTGCTGACTTCACGGGCCCAGGAACGTAGCTCCCTTCCAAGCCCTGTTTGGGGCTCGAGTCTTCCCCGAATTGTTTTCGGGCCCCTGTTGTTCCAGGACTCCCTCCTTCTGCTCCCCATCCCTGGCATCACGTCGACCCCGCTGACGTTGGCCATCCCGGGCTTCCCTCGGTTTCACACAACACGTCTGGGGGAGGAGCTGTTTCTGGGGGGCCAGGTTGCACCGCCAGGCAGCTGGGTGTACCCTGGAGCAGGGTACCTCGGCTTGGTGATCCCAGAGCAGGGCGCCTCAGCTTTGCGATCTGATCGGATGTTATTCAGGGTGTGTCTTGTGTTCTGTGTTTTTACACTTCTTTTTTTATTTTTTTGAGATGGAGTCTAGCTCTGTCACCCAGGCTGGAGTGCAGTGGCGCGATCATAGCTCGTTGCAGCCTTGTACTCCTGGGCTCAAGCAATCCTCCCAAGAAGCCGGGGCTACAGCTGTGCACCACCACGTCCAGCTAATTTAAAAGTTTTTTTGTAGAGGTGGGGTCTTGCTATGTTGCCCAGGCTGGTCTCAGACTCCTGGCTTCAAGCAATCCTTCTGCCTGGGCTTCCCAAAGTGTGTGATGACAGGTGTGAGCCACCACCCTCGGCCCTACTTTAATTGTAGTAAAAGATGCACATTGATCATTCTAACCATTTTGCAGTTCGGTGGCATTAAGCATATTCATGTTATTTTATTTATTTATTTATTTTTTGAGACGGAGTCTCGCTCTGTCGCCCAGGCTGGAGTGCAGTGGTGCCATCTCAGCTCACTGCAAGCTCCGCCTCCCGGGTTTACGCCATTCTCCTGCCTCAGCCTCCCGAGTAGCTGGGACTACAGGCGCCCGCCACCTCGCCCGGCTAGTTTTTTGTATTTTTTAGTAGAGACGGGGTTTCACCGTGTTAGCCAGGATGGTCTTGATCTCCTGACCTCGTGATCTGCCCGTCTCGGCCTCCCAAAGTGCTAGGATTACAGGCTTGAGCCACCGCGCCCGGCCTCATGTTATTTTATAACCGTCACCACTGTCCATTTCCAGAATGTTCTTGTCTTCTTAAACTGAGGCTCTGTCCACATTACACACTCCCTGCCCGTGCACCTGCCCCAGCCCCTGGAACCCCCACCCCACCATCTACTTCTAAACACAGGGTGAGCGAGTGAAGGTGGGCGGGGGCAGGGCAGAGCCGGGTGTGAGCTCAGCGCTCAGCCAGAGAAGCTGCAGTGATGGTGGAGTGTAAATGCTGCCCCGCAGGGGCATCGTTTCTTCTTTTAAAATAAAAGAAGGCGCGCGCCGTGGCTCACACCTGTAATCCCAGCACTTTGGGAGGCCGAGGCGGGCGGATCCCCTGAGGTCAGGAGTTTGAGATCAGCCTGGCCAACATGGAGAAACCCCGTCTCTCCTAAAAATGCAAAATTAGCCGGGCGTGGTGGGGCAGGTGTCTGTAATCCAGGAGGCCGAGGCAGGAGAATTGCTTGAACCTGGGAGGCGGAGGTTGCGGTGAGCCGAGATTGCACCATTGCACTGCAGCCTCAGTAACAAGGGCGAAACTCCGTCTCAAAAAGAAAAAAAAAGGGAAGAGAAAACAAAAAAAACTGAGACACAACAACAAGAAGTAGCCCCTATGCGTACCAGCGGGGGTGGGGCCCGCACTGTGCCGGGAGCGGTGACAGTGACCAGTGTCCTGAGAAGGATGGCCCCTTTGTCCTCCGGGCGGCCGAGCACAGTGTGGCCCTGGCCGTCTGTGGGACCCGCACAATGGTTTCCTCTGAGGCTGCAGACGGAGCTCTTGGAGGCCATGGGCTTCTCCGGGCCTCACGGGCAGTGTGTCCAGGCCCAGCTTCCCCTGGTCCTGCCTGCGGCCGCAGCAGCCATGGATCCCCCTTTGGGGCAGAACCCCAGAAAGGTGGGAGGTGCGGCCGTCCCAGGCTGGCTCTGTGCAGACTCACCCTTCTCTGCTCCCAGGGCCCCCGTGCTCTTTGCCAAGGGAGGGGAGTGTCCTGCCACTTGCCTGAGCAGCCATTCGAGAGGGGCCCCTGAAGGGGCAAGAGGCTCACTCATCTCCTTGGGCATAAGATGTCACCCGCCTCCCTGGCTCTCCCGTGTCAAGCAAACCCCTGCTGACCTCAGGTTCACATCTTCTGAGTCCACACTGCTCTCATGGCTCAGCAGGAGGCCCCTGCATGGGAACAGAAGTGCGGAGGGCGCTGGAGGGCGGGGCCCCTGTTGGAACGGTGTTTAGTGTGGAGGGTGCTGGAGGGTGATGGTGTTTGGTGTGGAGGGTGCTGGAGGGTGATGGTGTTTGGTGTGGAGGGTGCTGGAGGGTGATGGTGTTTGGTGCGGAGGGTGCTGGAGGGTGATGGTGTTCCATGTGGAGGGTGCTGGAGGGTGATGGTGTTCCATGTGGAGGGTGCTGGAGGGTGATGGTGTTCCGTGTGGAGGGTGCTGGAGGGTGGTGATGTTTGGTGCGGAGGGTGCTGGAGGGTGATGGTGTTTGGTGCGGAGGGTGCTGGAGGGTGATGGTGTTTAGAGGGTGCTGGAGGGTGATGGT